GTGAGAACATTATTCATATCAAACGGTGCCATACTTCTGTTATTGCCTATGAAAACTGTGACTTTTAAGGGTTGAAATACACCAGTCACATTGTCCAACACACACACACACACACACACACACACACACACACACATACACACACACACATACATCCCACCATATTTGTATTAAGGGTACACATACTCTCGCAAAACAAATATTGACCCAAGCCGTAAATTAACTTGCTGTCAGTGGACTGGCTATCTTGTTTCAGACTCATATAATTGGAAAACAGTAAAAACAACAGCAACAATGAGTGTCCCATATTTCTCAGATGACGAATGCTTCATACAGCTTTGTAGGTGAAATGGCCTTGACTCAGCTCTGTTTAATTCCTCTGCTAGAATAAAGACGGGGTTTCATCAATTGCAGGATTGTTATTCATTTGAAAGAGATGTCTTCCAGTTGGAGGTCATTTGAAAAGCTCGCCCCCCCGTGAGCACGTTGCGACATTCTGAAGTATTTGTTTCTTTCCACACTTGTTTCTTACGAATCAATGCTTTCCTGAATACGTGGCCTCATTTTAAGTTCAACGAGGGGCTTCTTTCATTCGTTGAAGCTGTATTGCCGGTGGAGTCTGGAGAACGGTGGACAGAATGTACGTTGGGTTCTCCTTCAGATGTTGTGTTAACCCTGAAAGGCAGTTGGAGAATGGAACGAACACTCAAGGCCACTTTTGTGTCACAACTAATTACAAAAGAAGCCCAGTGAGGAGGTGTGGCCTGCTGATGGGTGCAAAGTGTCCGTCCCTGCCCAGGACACCCCTCATCCTACCACTGCAGCTACAGGTGGAGGGAAATCATCAGGAAAAAAAACAGTAGTAAATGGAAATAGAAGCCTTTCATAGGCATTTGATATTAGAGTCGTTTGTGCAGTATATACAGTACCAGCCATGGACTCATATACTCATAAAAGGACTTTGCATATTTTTTATGATTATGACAGTTATATTGTATTTTAGTTTTTCCAAAATAGATCCAACAGTGCTTTGATGCAGCTTTCAAATAAATGTTTTAATTTAAAATTTTAGGTTCGGTAATAATTCATACATAAACTCCAGTTTTCCCATTTATGTTTGATAGCAACACATTTGCATTAAGATTTTAGATCAAAATGTCTTTAAGATTGTAACAGGTGTATGTTTTTGAATACAGCATTAGAAAAACATGACTTGTCAGTGATCAAAACCTATAACAGCCTATAAAAATGGGTGGGGAGGGGAGGGGCAGGGCTTATACTTACTCATGCACCCACGCTTAAACAACTGGGCTTGTTTTCTGAAGCTGCTGTTTCCATTGTGCCATAAAAAAGGAATTTTCTCTATAAAAACGCAAATGTCACTGTCAGAACGAAACCTTGCAGCTACAAAATGGTAACTTTGCAAAGGAAGAAAAACATTCTTAACTTTTAATTGAAGTCAATGTAGTGAGAATTCTTCCAAAATAATTATGAAGCATTTCTGTTGGTTCATTCTTCATGACATTTTCACATAATCTGTCTAAAAGGCAGCTGGAGTTTTCAAATTACACCAAAAAGTAAAAAAAGGGCAAAAATGGATAAGGTTTTTTTTCCAATGACCAGGAAATGCTGCACCGCTGTTGCACATCTGAGGTGAACAAACATGGTCCAAACCTGATGTGATTTGCCTTACGTACATTTTTCCAACTACATTGCTACATCCAGGCTACAAGCAGGCTAACACAACAGCAATGATGCCACATGAGGTCTCCTATTAAACTTCAGCACTGTTATATGGACCATTCTACCGAATTACTTCAAACTGCGCACAATAAAAAATTATTTAAAAAAACAGTAAGTATTCAGACCTTAAATATTTACAAGGATTATGTTATGATCTATTCAAACCCAAGGCATTAATAGATATAGTAATAACCTAAACTTTTTTTAGGGTACTTTCTGTCGGGAGGTGCCTGTCCCAAACCCTAAACCCCTAAATTTAAACATTGTTTTTGTATTTGTATTTTTATTTTTTGGAAAAGATCTTTTTTGATTTCTTGAAACATTTAGATTTATCAAAAGTTCATTTTTTAAGTAATATTAAAATTTTATTCAAAAAATGCTGTCCCATGTTTTCACGTCAGTACCGAAACACAGTTGTTTTTTAAATGTGTCCCAAAGTCTGAAAATCAGTGTGAAACATTAAAAATTGTCACTACCAAAACTTTTTTTTTCCATTAAGTAGTTTTTTGTTATTTTAAGGAAAAAAAATGTGATTTTTTTGTGTGTACAGCTATTCAAAGCTGCGTTTGTTAGTCATGTACTGGATGACATTTATGAGCTAAAATCGTCACCGAAAAAGTCACTACTACATTTGGCAGTTTCGGTAGTGTTATGATTGTTTTGGCAATGACAAAATGGAATGTTCCATCATTTATTTTAATAAAATAAACATTATTAAGGTATAGGGTCACTCAAAGCAAAAGGGTTGTAGTCTAAAGTCCAAGTCAGTTAAATGCTTTCAATTCTGACATTGAGCCAGATCTGTAGAATGATCCATATGCCAACTAGTTTTAGGCTGCTACTGCCAAAGCTGCTTAGGAAGGGTTGCCAGTCTTAAGCCCTTTACACACCGCACACGATTTTTTTTTGTGACTTATTCGGACGACAGTAAATGAATTCAAGCACGTGTATAACGGATGATATCCTGCTCACCAAATGCGGGTTTTCGGATGGCGAAAATGTGCCATTATTTAATTTGCCTTCTGTTCAATTTTTGTGAATCTTTGCCAGTGACAAAAAACTCGCTGATCAATCACGGCCGCCTGCTGTTGGCATGACGACAACCAAGAGGACGCAGCAGCTGTGTTTCAGCAAATAGAACTTTTTCACAAACGGATCAGAACCTCTGAAGGCAGCTCAAATAGAGTGACAGACATCGAGTTAGATGTGGAGAAACTCATTCAGCTTCTGAATGAAGAGATGAAGCTTTTTGTGCTACTTTCATTTTTCCGAAATGGACAGCCGTTTGTCCGTTCTGCTGGGAGCAAAGAATCCGATCTTATTTGCACTGAAAGACATTCAGCTGAGATCTCAGCTGAGACTGAAAGCACTCGCAAAGAATTTGAGCTCCTGAACGAGGTGGATAAACTCCCTGCTCTCCTCTCGTGACAGTTTGCCCATTTCGGGAGCAGCAAAGGCATATAAATATATATATATATACATATATATCCTAATGCGTATATATAGATATATATCCTATCCGATCCTAATGCGTGGCCATGACTTAGTAAGGCGTGGGAATGAGATAATTAAGTCATGGCTACGGCTTAGTAAGGTGTGGGAACAAGATCTTGCCTCACTACATCTCATTCCTATGCCAGTCATGGCCGCACATTAGGATCTCATTCCCACGCCTTACTAAGTCGTGGTCACACATTAGGATCTTGTACCCATGCCTTACGAAGTTGTGGCTACGCAGTATTTTTATTTTTACAGGATGTCACCAGCAGGGCTCCGTAGTAAGACATGGGAACAAGATGCTAATGTGTGGCTGTAACTTAGTAAGGCATGGGAATGAGATAATTAAGCCTTGGCCACAGCTTAATAAGGCATGATCTCGTTCCCATGCCTTACTACGTCATGGCCATGGCGTATTAATGTGTGGGAACAAGATCCTAATGCATGGCCATGACTAAGTAAGGCATGGGAATGAGATCATGTCTCACTAAGCCATGGCTATGCATTAGAATCTTGTTCCCATGCCTTACTAAGTCATGGCCACACATTATATTTATTTATACGGGATGTCACCTGCGGGGCTCTGTAGTAAGGCGTGGGAATGAGATAATTAGGCCTTGACCATGATCTTGTCCCACACCTTACTACGTTGTGGCCATGCCGTATTAACATGTAGGAACGATTTCTAATGCGTGGCCACAATGTAGTAAGGCGTGGGAACGAGATCATGCCATACTAAGCTGGGGTCAAGGCTTAATTATCTCATTCCCACTCCTTACTAAGTCATTATTTATACAGGATGTCACCAGCAGGGCACTGTAAGTTTCTGTAGAATCAGAATATTCGAAATATTGAAAATTGAGTCGAATCTTGACCTCAAAATCGAAAATACGAAAACATGAAAACATGAGTAGCGTCGCATCTCCTGGTTGTGTGTACCCAAACTTTTGACTTGCATCTTATATCACATTATCGGCCGTTTTTCATTCACGCTGTTGTTTTATTATGATGGTAGTTCTGCTGTTTCACTGAGGGTCTTGGTTTCATTTTGCTCAGAATTTATGATCAGACCCGGCCCGTTTCGCGCGCTGATGGATCAGCTCGTACGTCAGTGGCTTTAGCAGGTGCGCCTTATGCCCTCGCACACAGAGGAGACACTAACAAAATACCATACGCGCGCCTTTCGCGCGCCGCGACAGCTTTATTGGACTTCACGAGCGTTCACAGAGAGATTTATAGAGACATTACTCCACATTCATCTGTTTTCCACCCCCTTCCTAGATATTCCTAGCCGAACATAATTGACATATGGTCTGGTTTATTCAGCCGCGTTGTGCTGCGCACGCAGATGAAACAGGCTGAAAACACCTCAATAAAAGCACGGACAGTGAATACCTCGTTTGCTTAAGGTACATTTAGACGCTGTTTGTTTAATTTGCGTAATCAATGTGTTTGTTACTTCAACAAGCACTCTCTTTAATCACAGGCAATTTTAAAAGTTATTTAAATTCTAATTCAGCAATTAGCAGGCAAGCCACAAGTCCAATTAATCTTAATGCAATGTAGCTCCCATTACAGAGAAAATTAATTATCAGGCCTTTTCAGTTTTTTTTTCCATTGTTTGTTTGGTTTTGTTCTTTTATCTCCAAAGAGCGTTTCTGATGAATCTTTCATTAGCGGGCGTGTGAGAGCAGCCTCTCAGGGCCGGGCTGGGCGCGTGTCTGTGTTTAAAGCTGACCAGGTCCCTGTGTCTGATGCAGATTTGCCTCTGGTGAACCTCTCGGTGGAGCCTCAGCCGATCCTGGAAGGAAATCTGGTCAAGTTCCACTGCTCAGCCAAGGCCAACCCGCCGGTCACTCACTACAGGTCAGAGCTCTCGCACACACGCACACTACATATACATACACATACATTACTGATCAAGGACCTCTCTCTCTCTATCTCTCTCTCTCTCTCTCTATCTCTCTCTCTCTCTCTATCTCTCTATCTCTCTCTCCTCTATCTCTCTCTCTCTATCTCTCTATCTCTCTCTCCTCTATCTCTCTTTTTCTTATCATTCTCTTTTTCTTTTTCTTCTTCTTTTTCTTTTTCTTCTTCTTCTTCTTCTTCTTCTTCTTCTTTTCTCTTTCTCTTTCTTTTTTCTGCCCCTCTTTTTCTTCTCTTTTGCTCTCTTTTCTCTCTCTCATCTACTCTTTCTCTTCTGTCCTACTCTCTGTTTTTATTCTCTCTTTTTTCTCTTTTTCTTTATCTCTCTTTCTCTCTATCTCTTTTTATCTTTCTCTCTCTCTCTCTTTCTCTGTATCTCTCTTTCTCTCTCTTTATCTCTCTATCTCTCTCTCTAGCTCTCTATCTCTCTCCCCTCTATCTCTCTTTTTCTCTCATCATTCTCTTTTTCTTCTTCTTCTTCTTCTTCTTCTTCTTCTTCTCTTTCTCTTTCTTTTTTTCTGCCCCTCTTTTTCTTCTCTTTTGCTCCATGTTCTCTCTCATCTACGCTCTCTTCTGTCCTACTGTTTTTTTTCTCTCTCTTTTTCCTCCCCTCTCTTTTTCTTTCTTTCTCTTTTTATCTCTCTCTCTCTCTCTCATCTACACTTTCCCTTCTGTCCTCCTCTCTGTTTTCATTCTCTCTATCTCTCTCACTGTCTCTTTTTCTTTCTCTCTTCTTTGCTCCCCCCATTTTCCCCCCACTTATGCTTTCTCCTGCTTTCTCGCTCCTCACTTTCTCTCTTCTATCTTTCTCTTCTATCTCTCTCCTCACTCTCTTCTTCTCCCTCCCTCTTTCTCTCTTTGTTTTCTCTTTCACTTTCTTTCTCTTTTTTTCTCACCTCTCTTTTTTTAACTCACTTTTCTTTCTTTATCACTCTCTTGTCTGTTCTTTCCCATCTGTCCTCCTCTGTTTTCATTCTCTCTGTCATTCTCACTGTTTCTTGTTCTTTCTCTCTTCTCTTGCTCTCTCTATTCTTTTTTCTTGCACTTCCCTTGCTTTCTCTTTCTTTCTCTCTCCTCTGTTTCTCTCTTCTTTTTTCTCTTTCTCCTCTTTCTCCCTCTCTCTTCTCACTCTTCCCTCGCTTTCTGCTGCTCTCGCCTCTGTCTTACCCTCTTTCTCTTCTTTTGTTTTCTCTCTCTCTCTCTCTCCCTCTCTCACCCCTCTGTTCTGTTCTCTCTCTTCCCTCTCTTCCTCTCACTCTTTCCTTTCTTGTTATTTCTTTCTCTGCCTTTTTTCTGTCTTTCTTTTATCTGCCTGTTTTCTCTTCATTTTATATTTTGTTTCTCTCTCTTACCCTCTGTTTCTTCTTTCCCTCTCTCTGTTCTCATTTTCTGTCTCTCTCTCTCTTGTCTACTCTTTACTCTCTCTTACTTCCCTTCTCTCTGTTCTTTTTCTTTTCTCTCTCTTCCTCTCGCACCTGTTTGTTCTTACTCTCTTTCTTTTGCTCCCTCTCTCCCCTTTTTCTCTCTATTCCCTCTCTCTTGCTCTTCCTTTCTTATTCTTTCCATTCTGTCTGTCATCTCATTCCTCCCCTTTTCCTTTTGCTTTTCTATCTCCTATCTCTTCCACTCTTTTTCTTTGTTTTTTTTTTTCTCTCCAGCTCTCGTTCTTTCTTTCTTTCTCTCTGTATTTTTGTCTGTCTTCCTCTCTCTTTGTTCTCTTTGTCTAAACCCTCTTATTGTCTGTCTCTCTCTCTCTCTCTCTCTCTCTCTCTCTCTCTGTTGCTTTCCTCTCTTCTTCTCACTCATTTTCTTTTCTCTTACTTTCTTTTTTCTATCATGCTGCCCTCTTTTCCCTTCTCTCCTTATGTCTTCTTTCTCTTTTTTCTCTCTGTCTTGTTTGTTTTCTCTCAGTGTTTCTTATTGATTTGTACACATTCTATCCTCTCGTGGTGTTTTTTGGGGGTCCGCTCTGGCTCCCCCATCATAAGCAGCCACGCTGGGTCCGGGAGGGTTTTAGTTCTGATGCGAGTCAAACTCACCTGAGCCCTCAGCTGCAGGCCCATTGATTATTAATGAGAGCGAGGCGAGAGGGGCCTGACACACATCAGGGCCGACTGCCCGGGCCGAGGAATTACCCACCAATCGCAACCGCAAGCCACAAGCCCCTCCAAACCCTGCTAGGCTTCTGTGTTTGCCCTCTATTTCCTCTGTTGCACTGCAGCAGCACTGCAGATCAGCAGCCATTGGTGGTGCACAGCACAGTGAGAAAAGCTTGCCCAGATATAGCGTCATATAGCCGTCAACGCAGACAGCTCTCCTCCGTCTGAGCGCTCCGTGCTCGCTCTGCTGTTTCAGAGCGCACGCCGGAGTAATTCTCATGCCGCGGAAGCGCAGTGTTAATAATAACTGACTCCTTCCGTTTAATTATGACAATAAGAAAAAATTAATTATTGATGGCAGGAGGAATGCCTCTGGGGCATTATACCCATGTTCAAAGGGGATTAGACTGTGGAAACGAAAACAAGAGGAAGGATTTTGTTCGCTCCCCAATATCATATTCATGCACATTTTTTGTTTACATGAATATTTGAATTCGCTTAAGAGACGAGTGCTTTCCGAGACGCGACGCGGCGTCCCACATTATGCCTCTCGTGTACGGAAACTGCCAGAACAAAACCAATCACCGCCCTGTTTAGAAACAGATTAGAGATGTGTTATCTTGATTAGAAGAAGTAACGCTGCCCTCTTTGCCGTTGCGCTGGGACTATTAGCGCGTCTTGGCCGCGATCGCAGTGAAGTTTGCGTGACGTTTCGTGTGGAACCAGCAGTGAGTAGGCAGGGGATTAGATTAGGTTCATGATGAAGGCAAAGTGGATTCGGTTCCAGAGCCTGGCAGCGGTCCGAGAACCGCCCGTGTGAAATTGTGATGTAGCGCGGGGCAAATGCTTGGCGACAAAGGCGTTTTGCTAAGAGTTTCTTTCTTTTCAGTGCACAAAGTTGGGCCTTTCTTCCAGGTTTAACCTTGGTCCCGTATCTTGAAATGAAAGGTCCTTTCAACAATACAGCAGCGTTCAATAAAAGGCAAATAAAGCGCCAAAGCCAAAGCAAAAGGAGAGGAGAAGTAACAGTAGAAGCTTTTGTGGCATAATCTGGCTTTTTAAGGAGAGAATGCGACTGAAGTCTAGACCGAGTTTCATTTCTTGTTTCTTTTTGAGGGGAGCCTGACTGATATGAGTATTTTGTGAGCAGTATTGATTTTAAGGAGCTAAATATTATAGTATTAGATAATATTGCCTTTTAATGTCATTTAATATGGTCACTTTTAGGTATATAACGGATGTGACTGTCACATTTATTGAAAGGAGGTGTAAGTAATAGCATGACCGATGGTGGAGCTTCTTCTGTTTCTTCAGTTTTTTGGTGTTATATAATAGCTGCGTTCCAAAGCCGAGGCTGCAGCCAAGGTAGGGCGGGTCCTCGGTAGGGCTGTCCTATGAAGACTCCTCCTTAGTGGCCTGTTGGTCACACAAACGGAACAGTCCTAACAAGGCTGCGTGGTGATGTCACCAGAAAGGTCTCACCTCTTGCAATTAGGGTGCAAAGCTTGTGAGGAAACTGGTGAGAGAAAATGAGCCCATTGCATTGTGTTTGTCGCTATGGTAGCTAATATACCAACAAGCTTATGTACCACGATAAACTACATATATACAAATATCTGATTAAAACATGATATATGGGCGAATACTTTAATTAATCAGTCATTTTACACTTTATAAGGTCATGAAGATGAATTCAAGTACATGAACAACTTACATTTTACAACAAACACCATTTTCGTGATGCTGTTTTTTGTCCTTCGTGTCGTTCGTGTGCACAGAACTGTGGGTAACCGAAGGCCTGGAAGGATACATCAGTTGCGTCCTCAATCACTCCGAATGTAGGCTGCATTTCTAGGCTGTATACGAAGGGTCCTTCACTTTGGAACGGCCTTCTATGACCAAGAAATGGCCAAGAAATGCAGCCTAGGCTTTGGAACACAACTAACGTGTTTTCCTCTTGTTTAAATGTGTTTATGACTTTAATTATAATGGTGTTTTGTGTTCAGCCTGCATTGCTTCATTATCAGTGATCAGGTGAGGGACTGCCAGCTCAGCACTCTCTACCACATTTCCTTATTAGCCATCTTGCTTCCTGTGTTTACTATGTAGCCAACACTGGTAGTTCTGTCGAATTGCACCACGCTCTTGGACACTCACTCTCTTACACAAATATTTGTTATTCAGAGTCGGGTGTAGAGTCAGACAATGCTTATATTTTCTTCTTGAGAGTGAAAATATAAGCAAAAAGCTAATTCTGCTTCCATGCATGCTAAAAACATTAGCTACGCTCAATGTTAGTCCACAGATTTAGACGTTAGAACGTTTCTGTTTTCATAAATCCCAAGATGTCTTCATGAAGGCATTTGCTACTTTCTTTCATTTACATTTATTCACCTCAACCCACCACAACCAAGTCACATTTTGATAATGGTGATCATCTCAAATAATTGGGATCATCACAAATAATTGCGATTCGGCGATTATACAGGGGGATTCACTCGAAAGAGGCCCCGAATATTCTGTAATAACTCTCGCTAGGATGAAGCAATCTGAACGAAACAAATGTGCAATGAGCTCCTCAGTATGTGGAGCTTCAAACAAGCCGGGATGCCCCTGTGTTGGAGCGATGAGGTAGGTGCCAGACAGCCGTCACGATCTTTAACCTCCGTTTGCAACTTCAGGAACATGCGCTGCATTGAAATTTGTCTGGCAGAAAACAGGGATCACTTCCAGCATCGCATGTAATGCAGTCGATTACACACACGTCAAGGTATGTAATGTATTTTTTTGGTTCAGATTGTTTCATCCTAACGGGCGTTACTACAAAATATTCATGGGCCTCTTTCGAGTGAATCTCCCTGTATAATACGTGTGACAGGCCTAATCAGCTTACTTCTTACTGTTCCACTCGAACTAAACAAAATGATGATGGTTGTTGATTAATTGATAAAATTGATCAAATTACCTTACCTGTTCTTCAGGTCTTTTAGCTGAAAGATCCATGGGACGTCACTATCGGCCGGTATTACCAGCCGACTGATGTATATCGGCTAGGCCCTGTTCTTGAACACGCAGCGGGTTGAAAGTGGGCCATAGGTAGAAGGTGAGTCAGATGCACTTGCTTTTCTGCCAGTGAATGGAAGCGCGCTTCAGATCCCTCCAGGGCTTTCTTGTCACCGTTGGTGTTGGAGGCTTTGTTTCGAGGCAAATTTGTCATCTCTGCTTTCCTCCTCCATCACTTTAGAAGTGTCTAATGGAAAAAAGGCTCTGCTGTGCACATTTGGCTGGGCACAGCAGCAGGTTTGATGTGAACATGTGGGTTTAATGCATGCCGTCAGTGGGCATCAGCCTCCCCTTGGCTGATTGTTTGTTTTGGCATGGGGGGTCCTCGGGGAGATAGCATGTGCCACCCAGCGTTCGCGTTCCCCGCGCACAGACACGGCGACAGACAGGAGCCATCAATATCTTAAAAAGCCAAATGATTTCCTTTCTGCGGCAGTTATGTCTAGTTACAACGTTCAAAGCGCTTCGTTGCGCGGATATACAATCGCCGCTGAATAATTCAGTGGCGTTTTGGAAAGGATGCACAACAGACGCCCGTGCTGTTCATTTGCGCTGCTTTGCCGTTCCGAAGCCGGAGCGGGGACGACTAAAGGCTTATTGAATTTTGAATTACAGCGTTTGCGGCTTTCGCGCTCGTCCTTGTCTTACGGGCTGCGCTGTTGACTGACACCCTCACTGCGGGGCACTGAGTGATTTAGATGAAGCTGTGTTTACTTTCTCGCTTCTCTTTTCTGCTCTCGTGAGATCAAGTTGTCAGAGCTCTTCAGCGGGAAGCCTATTGCTTGTCGAAGACGTGGAAATTTGGCCTACATAGTTTCGTAGTTCAAGTGCGTCTTCTTCGGAAAGCCGAGGAAATCGTTTAGAGCGGATACGGCCATCAGGAAGCGCATTCTCTAATTTCTCATAGCGCTCTGGATCGGATTCAATTAAACGAAGGCAGCAATGCATTTAAATGTCAAGAATCCATGTAATCGCTTGGCCACATTTTTCCCTTTTTTAGAGCTGATATGAAGGTTTACAATAATATCATAAACAGCTTATGCTGATATGATGAAATTGAATTTTCCTAACGAGATGAAGTAAATCCTTGCCATCGCTGCTTTGATTTTAAAGTGAGTTAAATGGAGTGGTGTAGTCTGCATGTGCCCTTTTATCATTGTTTAGTGGTCACTTTAGGCACTTTGTGCTAAATGGGTGGGTTTTACTGGGGGGGGGGTGTATTTTTTTATGGTTGTGCCATTGATATAGACCTTAATCATCGAATGAATATGTAAATCTACTGCTTTTCCTGCCCTCAATATTATACAGGAGATTCTTCTGTTAAAGCCAAGAGCTGAAAGTTTGACTGTTTTTTCTTAGAAGCTTGAATTTATTTCCATTGTTTGTTAAAGCTGAAAGAACAAAACCACTTAAAAATCTATATATTGCCAGCAACTATACTTTTGTTTGATTGTTGCAAATAAATCAGTAAACATAAGTCAACTGAGTAAACTAAGTAAACTGAAACTTAAGTCATTAAACTTGTTTATTTGTCTTACATAGAGAAGGAAAGTGCTAATACAGGGACCAAAGTGCAACAGTCTAGAAAAGGGAACACATTTTGGAAAATACACCTGAATTAGGTTCTAACCAAAAAGTAGAGCCGTTTTTGTAAACTTTTTCTAGATTTTTACTGCAACTACTTTCATTGCATCTACCAATAAAAACTTTTATCAGGGCAAAACTAAAACAAAACTTCAAAATCTTGTTAAAACAGCCACTATTTCTGTAATTTGCACTCATATCTTCTTAGTGTTTGTCGTTTAGAGAAGAAACAGCTGTAAACCTCAGCAGCATCTGACAAACACACATACATTCAAGAATTTTATTAACTTCAGTTAACACTAAAAAACAGAAGTTAAGGACCGAACATTGTTGCAGTGGAGTATCACTGTTTATCTGCTGCTGCTCAGGCTGTTTGAACATGTCTGCGCTGACCAGCACAGGAGAGCAAAGAAAACAAAGAGTGTTTTTAATCACTGTGTCTTGTTTTAATTAAAATCCATTAAATCGTTTGTTAAGTTTTAGATTTTGGCACTTTTTCAGCCCAGTTTTTTCTCTTTTGGCCATGCCATTTTTGACCACTTTTGGCCAAAAAATCCCTAATTCACATATATATATAAATACTAATGGTTGGCATCAGTGGGCTAATTAGCTTGATACCGATCATTACTTCCCTTTTAGGTTGCGTTGGCTAGTGTGCTAATTTATCAATAGACATTTGAAATGACTTCACTAAGGTTTGAGGAAAGTGAACAGCTACTTTTATTATCGATTGAGACTGCAGAACAATGCGTTACCATGGAGACTGGGTGGGTGGACTCTGCTGTACCTTTACTTTCCATTGGCTGAACCACTTTGGTTCAGGCACATGCTTCAGAAACAGTGTACTATAAGAGGTTCTCCCTGTAAAAACAAATGCCTGCATATGGAAATCTGAGCTGGAATGCTGGTATGTCCCATTCTTTATTCCTGGAGCAGCGTTCCCACTTCCGCCTCTGCTTATACTGTTTTTTCTAAAAATCAAAAGGAAATCTGAGGATATGAGAATGCTTTTTGTTCTCACTTCATCTCTGGCCTACTTTTCTGGTCCTATTTTCTGTTATCTAATAATTAGTAATCTAGTAATTTTTTTGTTGCGTTGGTAAAACGTTTTCCATCCGCTATGATTAACAGGGAAAATTAGCTTGCGTTGTAATTTTTCTCATTTCTCTTCTCTCTCTATGATTTGATAGAGGCTCCCAACCCCACAGGACGTATGACGATGTGGAAAGAGGCTGTTGTTTGATATCACAGACAGAGCACACATCAAATACACGAAATATAATTTAATCTCGCCAGATTCATTTCATCATCTTAACACAGGACCCATTTGTTTTGCCTTCATAAAACACAAACAATGGTCCATCTGCTGCATGCTTGATCTGCCCCAGCTCAAACTGGGCTGTAGCTGATGGCAATGCTGGTCCTTTTATGCTCCAATTTATATTTCTGCATAATGACGGCAGCATCAAAGTGGGGTGAGTAGCAGAGACGGTGTGTGAGAACCTCGTAATGGGTGTTCTTTTATTCCGCTCCTCCAGAAGACATGCTCCGTTGATGGCAAGAAAATGAAAAGGCGCACACGCGCACAAAAAATGTTGTACCGAAAATTACATTAGACACCTCGAGTGTTGCTTTTGTTGTTTCAGAGCACCATGCAAATAAGAGACGATCACAATGATTTGCCTGCGAAAAAGCATCTTCCCTGGAGCCTTTCATCTACAGAGCACGCTGAACATGTAGAGAGGCTTCAGCTTTCAGAGAGTCTGTCAGGCTTCCAAAGCGCATGTCTTCCCCTCTCTCTTAGGTGGGCGAAAGGTGGAAGCGTGATCAGAGACGTGCTGGGAGACAGCTACGAGGTGGTGGTGGACCACTCCTTCTTCACCGAGCCCGTCTCCTGCGAGGTGACCAACGCCCTGGGCAGCACCAACATCAGCCGCAACGTAGACGTCTACTGTGAGTTTATTTGTAGTGCCTACTTTTAAGGAAGGAAGGGAGGTCCTTAAGTTCTGAAAAGAGATATGAAATGCCCACTTATGTTGGAATAGTCCAGCGAAGAATCAAGTATTTCCAAATGCATATATAATCAATCAGCCAAGCTAATGTAGCTAAAAAGTATTTTAAGCTTAAACTCCATCAATAGCATCATGCAAACTGCTAGGGGTACGAATCCTCTAGGCATTTGACTCTCAGGGTGCCAAGATGTCATAAGAAAACTTTTTTTGATGCCTCGTGATGCATCTCCATTTTTGATTTCTATAGCCTACACCAGTGATTCCCATCCCTGGTCCTGGAGTACACCCTGACCTGCACATTTTAGTGTACTGCATGCTCCCAACACGCCTGATCTAACTAAGCAGTTAAGTAGTAACCCCTTCCTGAGCTGAAGTGGGCATTGTAGAACAAGAAAAACAAACAGGTGTAGGACAGGGGTCACTCCAGGACCAGGGTTGGGAATGTCATCCATAGACATAAGTGCTTTTTTAACATTAACTGATTTAATGAAAACCTTCATATTAGATAATTTAACACAACAATACAACACAATTTTTGAAAACTATTTCACCTGTTGTTTTGAAAGCTGTGACTGCAATGGAATTAATGGCTGCTTGTTCTCTTCAAATGACCCACACAAAAACAAAAAGCCCTCATCACCGGAGAAACTTCAGACTGCTACACATGCTCATGTAAATGAGCGAGTTTCAAGTCCACGTCCAAAAATATAGTATTATGCTATACTATATATAATATAATATAGTATAAATACAGTACAAAACTGTGCAGTGCTGTCACCATGCCGTGTTGTAAGTAGTTCAGTTTTTTGAAGAGAAGAAATGTTTATGTTGGGTTGTTTTGGGTTCATTCATATAAGGACTTTTATGTCGAATGAATGGTGGAGTGGTGGGGTTTTATGGAGTAGAGCAGAGGGCTGGGTCTTTAGCTGTTAATGCTGGAGAGGCTGTTTCTTGGCTGTTTTCAGCAAATTAAAAATAAAGCTTGACCATAAATTCGAGTCGCTCGAGTTTCTCACAAGAACCCTGAACATTACAGTATTTTGCAGTTCACCTTTATTGAAAGCCTGCATTTAGCAAAAAAAAACAGAATGTCAGAATCTCACAATTAAAAACTGAATACCTACCCAACAAACGAATATCTGTATAGTTGAATATTTGGCTCCAGCCCTACTATCTACAAACATGGACAGAAAGTATGGACAGCTAAACAATGGCCAGACAATGTCTGTCAGTGTCTGAAGTCAAATTTGCCTTTTTTACTTAACAATACATTGTGGTTTGAGGCAAGTCTGTTATCATTATGAAAGCAGTTTGCAATGTGTCAACTGTTGGACTGTTAGCCTAGCTTAAATTTCTTGTGAGCTGCATTCGCCTTGTAGCTCCAGTGCAAAACTAAAGGAGCACAAACATGGCTTGGCTGACTGATTACATTTTGGGTAAGAGGAAAATTGTATGAATTCCATTTTTATGCCAAAGTGTTCCTTTCACCCATCCCTGGACGGCTGGTCCAGTCTTAGGCTTCAGCATGGGTCAATCATCTTGCATTGTTTTCCATGTTGTTACAGAATAATGAGCCTCTGATGTGGAAAGGGCTCCTCGGGGAGGGAGCATGTGTTAGTATGCATGACTCATGCCTTGTTGGGGGGCTCTTCTTGCAGTTGGGCCTCGTCTGGCAGCTGAACCGCAGTCGCTGCAGGTGGATTTGGGCTCTGATGCTGTGTTCACCTGCGCATGGACGGGAAATCCCTCCCTCACCATCGTGTGGATGAAACGGGGACACGGAGTGGTACGAACAGCTGCGGATTAATCCGATTAAGTCAACCGTTAATTGAGCACATCATGAGTACATTGTTTTTACCTGTTCTCAGCAATTAACAAGTTCAGAGAGATACGGAGGTGTTACTGTGAAGGCACCACATGTTTGTTTTTTCCTATAAGTGCCAGCACAGTTGCTCCCTCTTGATTGTCATGTCACTTTAAATTTAGTAGCATATGTTAGTGGATTTGACAAGTCCATTACACATCTGTCCATTTCCATTAATTATGAATAGCCAGAGAAGACAGTATGTAAGAAATAGATAAGAAAGAATCCTAAGGATGGGCACAAAACACTGGATTCACATGGTCTGTTGTTTGTCCCAGGTGCTTAGCAACGAGAACACCCTGACCCTGAAAGCAGTGAAACAAGAGGATGCTGGGAAATACGTGTGTCGAGCCGTGGTTCCTCGGGTTGGAGTCGGGGAGAAGGAGGTGACCCTCACAGTGAACGGTAAAAGCACCTAACCTATTCTTTAAAGATGACGATGCCTTTATTGTGTATAACGGCATATTTCCAAGGAAACACCGATATTGTGGGCTGATGCTGATATCCAGTCCTATATCCATCCTTCATTTATTTAACTTCTGATCAAAATAAGTGGTTCTTCATTTTCCAGTAGACGTTTCTGAGGAGATTTGATAAAAGCATAAGAAAGGATTTAAAAAGTAAGTGAAAAATTAGAAGTTTCCAAAACTGGAGTTCCAAAAATGGTTAAAAGCTACAGAGAAATTGAGGCTCCTAACAACCATCTGAAACGCCTGGTAGACACCAAAACTGTCCCCATCAGATAAACAGCACTTAAAGCTTTCATCTCTGAGAGAGAGGAGAAAATCAAGCTGCTTCAGATCTGAAAACATCCACAGGTGTTTCTGTCCATCCTTCCACTGTGAGAAGATGACTCAGCGCTGTGGGTCTGAAAGGATGTGTAGCTGTTCAAGAAGAACCTCACTGAGAAAAGGAGACGGACACATCAAACAAAGAAGCAGAATAATGGACTGACCACCCCAGAGTCCAGACCTCAACATCACTGAATGTGTTTGTATTGTGAGAAGCAGACACAGCAACCAACTTCTATGACTGAACTGGAGGTGTGGAAAAATGTTCTAAAAAGAACAGAAGCTGTAATAAAGGGTGGACACATTGAAAAAATATATTTTCTTCTCTTAAATATTCTTATGATTTCTCCTTTTGTCCTGACAAAAAATGGACTTGTTTTCATTGGATGTTTTGACTCAAAATGACACAAATTGATTGGTTTCTGACTTCTATAATACATAGAATCTATAATACATAGAAACTAGGACTAAATCCCACCTATATTAGCGTTACAGAGAAATTAAACGTGTGCATTCGGAGTGCAGTATATGCGCCAAATATTGGTTTGTAATAATAACCAAATCTAAACATCTCTCCAATGCCAATGCATTTTTAAGCAAGTATCTGCTGAAACAGATATGATTCCTATATCCCTGTGCATCCCTAAATATATCGCAGAGCATTATTTTGTCCTAAGATGGATAACTTAAAGGTGTGCTCCAGCTTTTTTGCACCTGCTGCATCTATTGCATACAGTCAATTACCACAGACAGTAATTTGGACACTTTTACTGTACTAAGTAAACAAACAGCAAAGCAAATTTTATAATAGAAATCAATGGGCAGATGCTTTAGCTCATGCCCATTGGCTTCTGTAGTACGTGTGTTTGAGTCAGCTGTCTTTCTGTTCTCCTTTAATTTCTCCTTTAAATTGCCTGTGATAAGCGACCATATGCTGCAGATGTAGCATATAGAGATTACATTCAAAAAATTCCTTTTAGCTCAAAGTAAGAATTGCCTAATAGAGGCCCTTACTCCTTGTCCAATTGGGGAGATTTGACTTTGAACATAACTTATTTGTCTAATGGAGAAGTTTGGTGCTTCTGTTTATTTCTATCCGTGTTAAAGCAGATACTAAGACTTTAGTGTAGGACCAGGCGCAGAAGTGCTCCAAACAAAATTTGGGTTTACATGCTCCACAGCGACAAACGACAAGCTGACATCTGTCAGGCGGTGAGGAAAGATGATCTAGGTCGTTTGTTAGCCAAATGCAATGCGCTAGTCTTTTTATTGGGCTTGCCAGACAGCATCAACTGTGACGTGAGGTCTGTTTAACCAGTATCACAGACAGATTACGCATGGCTTTGCTCAGCATTCTGTGGCTCGGATAGTGTTTCAGCCCAGCAGCAGATCTTACCATTAATCTGGGGAGAATACCATGTTTTTTATTTGAGGCAATCAATAGACAATAAACAAGGTTCACATAGAGCAGAGTCATAAGCCTTGAGGACCATGCAGGGTCATTGAATTGATTTAAATGCATCAATTAACCCCTGTCTTTAGGAGCGATTCTCTTTTGGAGATGTAATCATAAAAATCACAGGGCGGCATGCACAGGCACATCAAATAGTAACAAGGCGCTTATCGAGAAGATGAAATTTTTGTTTTTCTTCTGCCTCGCTAAAGGGCCAGTTTTATTGGCTATGCTTATTCAACCTAAGATCTGTCAATGGAAAATAGGCTTCTGGGGCATGTATTCTGTCTGTTTTGATGGAAAGGCCTGACCCCCTTGAGCCGCTGCAATAACACAGTCTTTCTTCAGCGAGGCAATAAGTCTGTTTAATGCTTTATGAATTCTTTATCTGCTCTGCTTTTCCCTCTCAGCCGGCTCAGTAGATTCCTGCGATTCTGAAGGGACGCAGTTCCAAAAAACGCTGGAGCCTCCGTCTCCTTCACTGTATCTAATACAATTTTGAAAACAGTCCTCTCATCAAATATTTGTGTTGAATCTTATGCAACGCTAAGCTGGGCTGAGGGATGCATTAACGCCTAAATGGCCCAAATTAGAGGGATTATGTGGATGCAAAGAAAATATGATTACAGACTTAATAATGAGAAATTAGTCAAATAACCACATTAGTTTTCCTTATACTCGCTCAGGAAAAATAATAAAATAGATAATTGCCGTGTCTGCGCTAAACGATTCTAATAATGCAAGGAGCTGAAGGAACCGCTTGAATGGGCAGCAGCACCTCAACTGATCAGTGCTTGGTTTTGTTTTCAGTGGAGCGGTTATTAACCCAGTAGCATGGAAGAAAAACATGCTCAAAACACGGGATCAACTCACTGAAGCAGAGCAAAAACAGCATGTAATTAGCATCACTTACAGTGGGTCACCGCATCTGACGTTGGGAGGGGGGTGTGTTACACAGTAATATTGAGCATTGAGCAGTATTGACAGATGACAAAAAACTTAGTTAATTAACTGCAGTGTTTGTCATTTCATGGGTGCTTCATATTCATGCTTTGAAAGAACTGTTAAAAATACAGCGCTGTGCAAAAGACCACCCTTCATTTATTTGAATACCAGTCATTAAGTATAAGTTATTCATTTTTCAGCTTCAGCAAATGAAGCAGAAAATACACTGAACAGAAAATTATACAGAAGCCTCAACAACTAAATATAATTCCATTTTTGCAGTATTTAGCGTGTCCACTCTTTACCTTTATTACACTTATTTCAGTTTTCCACACCTCCAAAGTTCAGTCTTAAAGGTTGAAGATTGAACCTTTTACGATCGAAGTAATCCTAAACTCTTTCAGTGATATTGAGGGTCCGGGGTCTGGGATGGCCAGACCATGAATAATGAATAACTTAACTACTTAATGCTTGACTGGCAGTTAAATAAAAAGCTGTTATTCTTAGTCTTCTGCACAGCACTGTACATAAAAAACTACACAAAAACTATGTTTTTTCAGAGCATGAAACTAAAACAATTATGTTAGCTTATATTACAACCACGTTCCAAAAAAGGTTGGGACACTGTGCAAAATGTAAATAAAAACAGAATGCAGTGATGTTCAAATTGTTTAAACCCTATATTTAATTGAATAAAATAGGGAAATTGTATTGTTTTTAAAAAAATATATGCCCATATATTTGGAAAAGTTGTGTAATGCTAAGAAATCCATTTACTGGTTGATGGGCAACAGGTCATGATTGGGTATAAAAAGAGCATCCCAGAGAGGCTGAGTTTTTAGAAGTAAAGATGATGAGAAGTTCACCACTGTGCGAAAAGACTGTGTGGACAAATAGTGCAACAACTCACGGATAATGTTTCTCAAAGTAAAATAACAAAGAACTTGGGGATTTGATCATCTGCGGTACATAATAACATTAAAAGATGCAGAGAATCCAGAGAAATCTCTGTATGCAAGGGACAAGGCACAAAAACAATATTGGCTGGCAGTGATCTTTGCATGACAGAGTTTTAACCGCAAATGCAGGTTAAAACTGCCATGCAAAGAAGAAACCATATATAAACAGGATCCAGAAACGCCGCCGCCTTCTCTGGGCCTGTGCTTATTTAAGATGGACTGAGGTGAAGTGGAAAAGTGTTCTGTGGTCCGGCGAATAAAAATTTGAAATTCTTTTTGAAAATCATGGACACTGCGTCTTCCAGGCTAAAGACCACCCAGCTTTTTATCAGCACACAGTTCAAAAGCCAGCATCTGTGATGGTATGATGGTATTAGTGTACATGGCATGGGTGATTTGCACATCTTTGAAGGCACCATGAACACATGCTGCCATACAAACAACGTCCTTTTCAGGGAAAAAATCATTGTGTAGAATCCTTTTTCTGAGGGTCTAAGGTCATCCGCTTTTTGATTTCTGAGCAGTATATATATACTGTAATACTAATATCTAATAAAGTAAACATCTAATACTGTGATATCACCCCATATTGGACAAAACTGTGACATCAGTATCGCCCAGCACTGTATCCATGCTGTCTCAGCTGGGCTCCTCGATTTCTCCCCTTGTGTGCTGGATGAACAGGAAAGACATATGAGCCTCTATTTCTTCTTCCCAGCGTCCCTCTCTCTCTTTCCCTCTGTTTGGATGGAGCTTCCCAGGCTGAGGCAGTAAGATAAAGCCATCTAATTATAGTGCTCATTTACGGCCGCGATCCCCCGTCAGATTTGTTTGGCTTCCCCGGAGGACTCTATCGGAACAGGCCTCTGCTGGAAAGCCATGGAATGCTATCGCACCCCCCACCACCACCAATTCCAGTCTTTGTATCCATGCGTAATTAAGAGGAGGAGAGAGAACATTGTTTCACATTTTCCGGAGAAACGCAGCCGCAGAGTGTGGGAGAGTACAGCGGTCTGATCCAGACTTTCATTAGCATGACTTTGGCTCCACACAGAGACCTCGGGGTTAGGGTGGGCGATATGGCAAAAATGTAAAATTACGATACTCAAAGGCATTTTACAATATGTGATACAGTACTGAGTCAGAGACCACACTTCATTTATTCAATTTCCAGTCAAAATATCCATTAAGTGCAGGCATCAGGAAAAAAACTCAAATGCATGTTTGAAGTCCAGGGAACCTAAATTGTTGAATTTAGATGACAAACAATAATACAAACCAAAACTGGCACAATGAATGGAGTAAAATCATGGTGAATTTTGTGCTTGATTTAACTGCATAAACATTCAAATCTAGTACGTTTTTGTAACTATCATGAGGAACATAAGTTAGCCTGTTAATGTACTCCAGTAAGTACTGAGCGAAGTGGGCACACAGTATACATACAAGTACGTCCTGTAAATGACCTTCCGATCCCCACTAGGTAGTTGAGATATTGCGCCAATATTCACCTCTTTTGAAGAACCTGGGTCCAGTTTCTGTAAGCAGTATCATCACCAATCACAAGGCTGATGTGCTTTGTCCTGCCCATACAGCTTTCACAAAACCAGATTTACCAGGAGAAAGCTAACCACCAAGCGAAAGCTAACCTAGCAAGCATAACTGAGCTACCAGGCTAGCTCATCGATCTGTAGTAACAAGGTTCTGTACAAGAACTTTACCTTCTTCAGGATGTCGCCCCATTAAAGCCTGTGAGTCTTGAGCACAGCAGTGGGCTCTGCATCACCACCTGTATATATAGTGCCTGTTTCACTCATTTCTTCTCACTCAAGTTGTTTTGTTTAGTTCCACTTCAGTGGCTGGGAATATTGGACTAAGGGCTGTCAATCATGCATGCTCATCAGAATATTTGGACCACGCCCACACAGTTCTCAGGTCCAATTAGCTTTTTTAAGCCATGCTTTATTATATTCGTCTTGTTTTTTTCTTTTTTTTTTTTAATTTTGCTGGATGTTGTTTAATATGTAATATAACACTCAATGTTAGTATCATACAAACATTTAAAATGTTTTGTACTGTGTTCCCTGGGACTCTTTTCTATATATGTATCTATCTAGGTACCCACCTATGTATATATGTACATACATACATACATACATAGGTAGATACCTAGATAGATACACATATAGATATATAGCAGCTTTATTAATGCCAAAGGAACATTATAGGGTTAAAACAACAAAAAGAATGATATAAAATCACTTACTTATAACAGGAAAAAAATGTTTAAAAATATTTACTCTTGCCTAATTTTACAAGAGTATGAGCGAGTTTACAATTGTGTTTAATTTTACGTGATATAAGTTGAGGTGGGAAACAATAGGTGACGCACTGATAAACGGCTGACAGTTTATATTGTGCATGTGTGCATTGTGTGCTTGTTTCTAACAGTTTGTCAGAGCAGGAGTCACACTTTTCATCCTCATTTGTCATTGTAAACGGTGAATTGGGGAGTTTTCACACGGCCACAGGCTCCAGAGATTATCTTTCTCGAGAGGCGGTACTGTCATCACAGCTTTGTAAGGGTTAAAGTTCAACTGTTTCAAAGCCTCTCGCATCGCAAACACGCTGCGAAAATTAAATCTTCGGGCAGCACCCGGACGAGACAAGTCTCACCAGGCTGAGCTCTTATCACTTCTGCCTTTCTCTCTGTCACACTTTTGACCGCAAAAACACCCTCACCCGGCACAACCCGAGCCTCTTCTGCAGATAAACAAAGCCAGTAAAAGGCTCACTGCCACGGGAAGGTTTGCAATCTCTTGTCATAGAAATGATTTTTGCTTTATTATAAACGGTAATCACTTACAAAGGATACATTTATGTAGTATAGACTCGTCACCACAAGTAATTTTAAATCTTTGAGGTTTTTTGGCAACAAGTAGTTGTGTCTAATTATAGTGCTCATTTATGGCTGCGATCACCCGTGAGTGTAAATCATACGCTGTAAAAATCTATTTTATGATTTTCATCAAGTTATCTGCATCGAGAGTTGATTCTTTTAAAATATACCCATTCTGGATGTTAAAATTTTCATAACATTGTAAATTGATACCAGAAATGTCAGATGAAGTCAGACTCGAGTCATAAATTTGATAACTTCAGACTGAGCTCAACCAAATGTAAAAGCTTGTGATTTGACTTGGACTTGAACACAGAGGACTTGAACTTCGACTTGAACACCGATGACTCAGATTTTGACTTGAACACTGGTGACTTAAACCTGAACACCAATGACTTAATGTTTGACTTGAACACCAGTGCTTTAGATATTGACTTGGAACATCAACGACTTAGACTTTGACTTGAACACAAATGACTCAGACTTTAACTGGAAAACGGAAGACTCAGACCTTGACTTGAACACCTATGACTTGGACTTTTACTTCAGCACCAATGTCTCAGACTTTGACTTTGACACCAATGTCTCAGACTTTGACTTCGACAGTAAATTATGCTTTGCTTATTTTATTTTGGTGCACAGAAGGCAGGAGTTTGCCTCTCTGTAAGCTGGAAACAGGCAAAGTTTAAACGGGCTTTAAATGGGCTTACCAGGCTAATTTACCATTTTCCTTTTAGTTATACGAAAGACTAAGCTCTCTCTAACTGAACAGTTTAAACAAAGAACAGCTATCGGTTGTTTTCGGTTTATGTTCAGCTAGTTAGAGTCGTTGTCATGTGTCACTTGAGAACATGCAGTGTTTTTACCCTCATATTTCAATGCACTTTAAAGATGGTTCACTTTTTATTTCATGTATAATTGCATCACTCTTTGTCTATACCATTGTGTCTGTCATGGTTATCCATGTATGGTGCATTTACTCATTTTGGAAGGGTGAAAAAAATGATATATACTGCATACTACTAACATGTTATAGGCCAATGTTTCCTAGCCTGGTCCTCAGGGACCCCCAGACATTCCGCAATTTTGCTCCAAACTGTCTTAACAATTAAAGATGAAGGAAAATTGTAGACTGTCTCAGGGCCTTGAGGGCCGGGTTGGAGAACACTGCCGTAGACTATGTTACGGTTACCATACAGATAAGGGTGAATGATTTTGGGATAATATCTAATTGCAATTTTGCTGATAAATATTGCAATCGTGATTTAAATGTGATTATTTTCACTACAAAACTTAAATAAATACATTTTTATTAATGTAAGGCATCATTAAAACTGCACTCTTTCATATTGAAATTTCAATATTAAAATGATTCATCATTCAGTCCTACATACATCGTTTTTAGTGTTCAGTGCTGAAACGGCATTAAATTCGCTGAAAAATCCATACTGACCTTTAGTTTTGGATTTGGGACTTGAGAAATACTTCTAACTCCCACAGATGGTTCTTCAAGGGTTCTTTAGTAAAGGCAATGGTTCTATTTAGAATATTGAGTTCTATATAGAATCATTTTATTCTTAAATAGTTTTTTTGCATGGTGTAATGGTTTTTAAGACTGATGGGGAATGTGTTGTATATGGTTCCATATAGCACCTAAAAGGATTTTTCTACTGAAATGACAATAGAAGAACCCTTGTTGGTGCTATATGGAACCATTTTCAGAAAGGTTATATATACAACCATTTACAGCACATTCCCCATTAGTCTTAAGAACCATGAGTTCTATATTGATGCATTTATGCTTAAATGGTTCTTTACATGGTGAAATGGTTCTTAAGACTGATGGGGAATGTGTTGTATATGGTTCTATATAGCACCTAGAAGGATTCTTCTATTGTTGCAAGCCTGAAATAACAATAGAAGAACCCTTTTTTGGTGCTTTATGGAACCATTTTGAGAAAGGTTATATATATACAACCATATACAGCACATTCTCCATCAATCTTAAGAACCATGAGTTCTAAATAGAATCATTTTATGCTTAAATGGTTCTTTACATTCTTTACTTGGTGAAATGGATCTTAAGACTGAAGTACTGAAGAAGTGGTTCGCAAGCCTGAAATAACAATAGAAGAACCCTTTTTGGTGCTATATGGAACCATTAAAAATGTTTTATATACAACCATTCACAACACATTCTCCATCAATTTAAAGAACCATTTTACCATGCAAAGAACCATTTAAGCATGAAATGGTTCTATATAGAGAATGCATGGTTCTAAATAGAACCGCTATATTTACTAGAATTTTTTAAGAGTGCACCTGTTATTAAAGTTATACAGCTTTCTCATGCATTTTGAAATCAGCATCTCTGTTCATCTTAATCTGAATCTTTTTACAGCTCCCTAGAAGTTATTTGAAACCTGTGAAGTTCTACAAGCTATTCTAAGTCATATTAGAATCATTTTAAACATGTGCCAATCAAATTGGTTAATAAATGAGAACTTTTGCACGGTGCTTCCTTACTTTTGAATGATTGCTTGTGAACAAAACACGAGACAGAGTGTAAGGGTAATAAATGGCTTGTTTTCAGTGCTGTGCTGTGCTGTGTGCCCGAGTCCCCTGCACATCCCTGCAGGCGGCGAGTGTGCGGCGTGTGTGCGGTGTGATAGGCGGTAGGGGGGTGTGCGGTGAAGCGACCGAGTGGCTGACTGACTGACTGATTGTCATGCCCGCTTTCAGGCCCTCCCACTATCTCCAGCACCCAGACCCAGCAGGCTCTGTACGGCGAGAAGGGCCAGATCAAGTGCTTCATCCGCAGCACCCCTCCTCCGGATCGCATTGTAAGTGCTCCTCTCTCTCCCTCTCTATCGCTCTCTCTCTCTCTCTCTCTTTTTCTCTGCCTCTTTCACCCCGCGCGGCTCTCTTCCGTAACCCGGGCCATTGATACGGCGGTGGGCCAGCGGCCAGCAGCTCCGTACTCATTACCAGATGGATCTCCTCTCCAGTATCAGGCAGCCTGCAGCTGCGGGCCCCTTTCCACGAAATCTCTTCCAAGTTCACCGATATGAAATGATGGGCAGCACTCTGCAGAACAAAGGCAAAAATAATGGGCGATGATATATGACATACAGCTCTATGAAGCAGGGCTGACTGCTATGACTTTATGCTCCTAGACTAATGGTGCTTAAAAGAAGTGTCTCTATGCTCTAGTTATTTTAGACCACTGTTAAGTGTGGTTATATTTCTCCATCATGTTTGCATTCATATCATCTTTCTCTGCTTGTTTAAAGTTTTTCTATAATGTTTGCCTGTCAGATTCTAGTAGTTGTTAGGACGCAGAGGCTCATCTATCGGTTTATCTCGCCTGACACTGGCTGCTGCTACTGCTCCAGTTCTTTGTAGGTACTGCAGCTCGGGATAGCATTCCAAGCAACACCGTTGGTCCTCCTGAGACTTTGCACACCAACGTATTTACTTCAGATCTATTCACACTGTCTGTCTCACTGCTTTGAAAGGGTTTCACTTGAAGATCCTTACTGCCACATATAGCAAAAGTAGAGCACCACCATGCTATAGGAGTGCACAGTGTACTGTATACAGATGTGTTATTTTCTGATGAATGGGGAAATTGCATTATTATTATAATTCTGACAATGGAATTGCTTACTGTAAAGCCGATATTACAGCAGAAGCAGAAGCGACATGATGCACGCAGTACACAGCAAACAACAGATTAGTATCTTATCAAGTAAAATTATCTAGTTGATATATCCAATATTTCTCCTGTTGAGATTGTTAAGCTTATTTTAAGATTATTTAACTTATTTCCAAACATTTTTATGCTTGTTTTAAGTAATTTTAGGTAAAATTATCTCACTATATTGACAGATAATTGTGCTTGTTTTAAGAAATATCCTTGAAACCAGCAACATTATCTGCCAATATAGTGGGATAATTTTACTTAATAAAATCACTCAAAACATGTAAAACATCTAGAAATGAGCTAAATATTCTTATAATAAGTGCACAACCATCTCAAAATAAAAAATATTAGATATATTGTCTAGTTAAGAGAATTGTGTAAGCCTACGCTTGCAGTAAAGGATACATGAATATAACTCCCAGATTTCTTTATTCTATTTACAAAGTAAGTAAACTTCAGAGTGATGCAGTGAAATAGAGTCTTTGGCTGAAACCGAAACCGAATTTGAGGGCTCACTGAGCCGAAAACTGATACCTGTATAAAAACAGCTTGCATAAAATACAGTATGTGCCATGAAATCCAATGGCCTTGACAAAAGAGAACAGCTGGTCATCCAAGGTATTGAACTCCTTTATTTTTTTAAATTATATTTGCATTTTGGCTGTCAGTTATGAACTGTTTCATCATCTCAGAAACTACAGTCTACAGATGGTGTCGGCATGCTCGCCGGAGCTTTGCTTTCTGCTTCTGTTGCTTTGCTGTATTCTGCGTATCGAGTGTCGTGTTTTCATATGGTATCAAACCTCTAGTGCAGAAGTTCTTTGGTGTTATTTATACCTCCTCTTAATACTTCAACAGTGATTATGAATCTCGTTAAGTTCTACTTGTATATACAAACTCAATTCCAAAAAAAGTTGGGGCAGTAAGTTAAATGCAAATAAGAACAGAGAGCAGTGATTTATAAATCCACTTTGACCTGTACTTAAGTGAAAACAGTACAAGATATTTAATCCTTCAGTCCCCAAATGGTTATCAAGTGCTGTTAATAGGAGGGGTGATGTGACAGTGGTAAACATTCCCCTGTCCTAATTTTTTTGGAACATGTTGCGTCAAATTTAGAATGAGCGTATATTTATCAAAAAGCAATGAGCGCATTTACATGCACCCAATATTCCGATCATAATCGGATTTCTGCAGTTATCTGATTATTCAAATGGTCACGTAAACAGCACACTTTGATTTCTTAGATCAGACTAAGGCCTAGAAATCCGATTAAGAAATCCTATAAAAAGAGCTGGATTTTAGCTCAGTAATCTGATTTCTCAGTGCTGTGAACTCTTACTCTGATTTCTTTCGGATTTCTCAGTCCGCACATGTATAAAAACAGACGGTGGTACTGGAAATAAGCAAGCAGTGTCGCTGCGAGACGCAACAAAACCTTTTTGGAGCGACACTGAAACCAAATACATGCTTGACGGAATGAAGGATTTAAATATTCTTCGTCTTCTAGATGATGTCTGTTCATATTTTCAGGTAAAGTGGCGCAATGTTTTAAAAAAAAAAGCGGCATGTAGTTTACGTCACGTCTTCTTCTGTGAGTTTACTGGCTGGTTGTAAAGCAGAAATCTGATTACTGCCTGACTCACGTAGACCCAGAGTTTCCCCATTATCTGATTACTCAAGTGCATGCAAACGTGTTGATCAGATTACTGACAAAATCTGATTTTCTGCAGTTATTGGGTTGTTAAGTGCATGTAAACGCACTCAATGAAGTTCAGAAGGTGACACATCAAAGACTGTGTTTTTGTGCTGTTTTCAATGTTATGCACATCAAGCAGAACTTACTAATTGCTGCTTTCTGTTTTATAGCAGTTTTCACATACTGTCCCAACTTTTTTGCAATAGGGTTTATAGTTGTAGTTGTTTTATGCTTTGCAAAGTTAATTTTCTTTTCTGTAGATCTACTTCAAAATGTATCTGCTCATTACATGACCCTGGCAGAGGAACTGTCGGTATTAAAAGTTCTGGAGAGAAGCCATAATAAAACGACTCCACTCATACATCCACCCACCATCCTTTTGTTACATTGTCACAGTTCACTGCGAGACCACATGCTAATTTAAAAGTAACCGAACATCCCGTTAGTTAAGAACTTTGTTTTTTTGGCATTATATTAATGTATTTGTTTTGCTCTATCATGTATGATACTTTGTTTACAAGTTTTTATTTATTTATTTGATTTACTTTAGTTTAATCTGATGCGATGCACTGGGAAGGATAATGAGAAGGGAAGAGGGGGGTTTGGGGGGTTGAATGCACCTGTTTTCTGTTATTACTGGACTGTAAATCTGTAATATCCCTTAAATGAAACAGAATAAACACAAATAAAATGTTCTTTGTTTGAAAAAAAACCCGCAGGCCTGGTCCTGGAAGGAAACAGTGCTGGAGTCGGGAACGTCGGGGAGATACACTGTGGAGACGGTCAGTACGGAGGAAGGGGTCATCTCCACGCTGACCATGAGCAACATCGTCCCCGCCGACTTCCAGACCATTTACAACTGCACGGCATGGAACAGCTTCGGCTCCGACACGGAGATCATTCGTCTAAAGGAACAAGGTGGGAGGTTTGTGCGCTGGCGTATGTGTGCATGCGAGCGTGGAGAGAGTCTATTTTATCCCTGTCTCGGAGTGATTAAGAGTGCTGCCTTGATTATTTCAAGCATAAGGGCAACGAGTCCCCGATAAGCTCCTTTACTTGGGTAAATGTCAACAATTTAAGTCCGCGAAATTCCTTAATGGCATTTAGACATTCAGAACTTCCATTTGTAATCTAATTTAAATTGCCCTAAATCGTCTTTACTTGCATTTATGAGTCCTTTGAAATATTTATGTGGAATTAGATGGTGCTTTCTCATTCAAATGCTGCCCCATTTTCATTTATTAGATCTGCCTCCCAAGAAGCCAAAGCAGGCTTTATTCAAAGGGGTCACTCCGCAGGCTCTCCCTCTAGGATTGAATCCTTAAGCGGAGAGACGGGGAGGAAAAGCTTTATTGTGGCTTCCCAAGTGACAAATGGACACGTGGACTAGATTCCATTGGTGTTTTTTTTTTTCCTTTTTCTTTTTTTTTCTTTCTTTTTTCTTCTTGCGGGTTGCGTCTCAGTCTTGTTGATTACCCCTGCTGGCTCTGTGTTCTCCTCAGGGTCCCTGCGCTTGGCCGTCATCATCGGGGTTGCAGTGGGAGCCTTCCTGGCGCTCATCGTCCTCATGGGGACCCTGGGGGCCTTCTGCTGCGCTCGTCTCCAGAGGAGTAAGTGCCGCCCGCTCCCTCTCTCCTCGCTTCCCGCCGCTGATAAATGGGCGAGGAACAAGAGAACAGCGAGAGTAACTCCTCACCTTGAGTTTAGAACACGTCCGCAGAGACGCTGTGTGTTTTTAGGCTAATTCCACAGGGCAGCGCGCGACTGTGATTTGGAGCAGTGATTTGGCGCAGTCTTTGCTGTAAAATACTAAGAAAATAAAGCACTGAGCCCCTCGAGGCTTTGTTACAGTGATTTTTGCTACAGTTAAAGTAGAATTCTACCCTTTTTTTTAAGTCTACATTATTTTAAATGGTTAAGATGTAAACGAAGTCATTCAGAGTGGAAATGTTCCTTGAATGGTTCACAGTGGTGTTGATAGGAACCAGACATCTGAAGAGTTTAATGCCTGTAAAAGCTCCCTCACAGAAAGATATTGCATAAAATGGTTTTGAATATGCAGTTTCACGATAGTTTTGAAAGGATTTTGGCCTAAAATGTATATTTTAAGAGCCATTTGTGGATAGAAAATTCCCAAAGTTAACATTTTTTTCAGATTTACCACTATTTCACCATCATCAACATTACATGTAAAACGCATTTAGGACCACTGGTTGTTGTGGATAGTAAATAAAGTGTCTGTATTTGCATTACAGATGTTATGACCCCTGGTTCCTATCACCACCACTGTAAAAAAATCAGAGGTTTCTCAGCTAGGCACCATTTCACATCAAACCACTCTTAATGACTTTGTTTACATCTTAACAATTGAATTATGCAGAAATTATTAAACAGTAGTGTAATTCCCAGTTAAGGAGTATTTGGTACACATAGCAGAGTGATATAATCACTATAATCAACTTGAGTGGCTTGCTCTTACAAATCAGCAGCAAAATGCATAGGAAAAATACACCAATGTTAAATTAATAATTTAATTTATTATCAGTAATAATTGCAGTAAACATTGTTAGCAGTGTAGTTCACTAACAGTAGGCGCGTGTTCCCAAGCACACAAACATACTGATCAAAGATTTTTCCACAAACAGAAATGGTTCCTCATAACTTTCCGAATACAGAATTCACAGAATACACAATTTAATTAATGTGTAGTGATATGTGATCATATTAAAGCAATAATCCACAAGAGGCTGTGCATTACAGTAATTTTATCACATTCTTAGGTGCAAATCTGCCCTAACCCATAGGAAAATCACTGTCTTATGTGGCTTATTGCTTTTTTACAATGGCGACAAAATAAAATATGATAAAACATACATGTTCAAAGAATAAGGGCTGTTGTTGGGGAGAGGACAAGAACTTTGTCATTGTATGTTATGTTAGTTTCATGAACAAGTAATATGTTGTTAAGTAATAATGAAAATTTCATAATGTGCGAGTGTTTAATGCAGGGACCTCCTTATAGGCAGTTTTTGCTCACCAAATTACTACTAAGGCTAATTCCACTAGCGTCTCAGTGCGATGTCCTGTGTTGTGTTAGCACTGAACTAAAGGTGGCACACATTCGTTTTGCCACGTTGGGTTTAATTCTGCGTAAGATTTAGGGGTATCTAGCAGAACAACCAAATACTCCCTCCCTCACCCGTCCCTTTCCAAGCGTATAGTAGAACCTACGATTGCCGATTTCTGCTGCCGCCTGTCTTGATTTTACATTGGTTCTTCATGTTTTTATTTCTTTGATGACAAGGATTCACTTCTCCATTTGTCAAAATTATGTTCTCAAACTTCTCACAACACAAAATGTTTAGCCAGCAACAGCAGTAACCACTGAGTCTTCTTCTCCCTACATCTTCCAAGCCGGTGCTACAGCACCACCAAATTCAAGCTGCCGTTTCAGCGTAAAAATGGAAAGGTGTCTCTAGAGCCACTGCTTGGTTTTGATTTGTCCATTCTGGGCAACTGTAGAAACACAGCAGTGCAATGCATAGCGGCCTCTGTTGGGAGAGGACCCACTTCCTATGTAGATAAGGGCTCATTCTAAGCTAAATAAAACACAGCAATTCATAGTTACAGGTGATTATACACTAATGAAAGTGTGGTTTTGTGTATTATGTTCTATTTCTGCTAATAGATCCTGCTAAATCGTACACACTGCACCTTTAAGGCAGAAGTGCCAATAAACAGACATTTGATGTGTCTAAGTAATTTAAGTACCATTTACTGTACTTTTTACAGTGAGTCATTCAGGACATACTTCAATTCAAGGACTAACAATATTAATGAAGGATCGATTAGCCTATTAGCTGTCTTTTAGCCTGCTGTCAGTTAGTTTTCAGCCCCTCTGTTTAAACAACACCAGATTCTTACTTCATTTATCAGTATACTTTGTGGTCCATGTCAGAAGCTCAATGGTTTTTAGTGACTTGGTAGAGTAATACAGAATTCAGTTGTTGTGAGGAGGCCATAGGTATGTGTACATAAAGATGAAAGATTTCAACATAGCTCAGCCAATCAGATTTTAGAACCAGAACCATCTGTTTTATCATAGAGACTAGAGAATGCGAAGTGGATGTAGCAGTGTGGTTCGTTTTTAGATAGATGACAGAAGGATAGGAGATCCAATCCGGGTCTTTATTAGCCTCATTATCTCTTACTTGCGACTGACTGCTTTTGAAATAATGAATGGTCCCGTGGGATGTGAGCTACTGCTCTGCAATTATTGCTTTTGTCGCACATGTCAGAGGTAGCGCAGCTGCACTGTGAAGTTTTGTTGTTGTTGTTCTTGTTTTGTTCTTGATTTTTTCAGTCCACCGTATTTATTCGCATGTTTATGATTGTGTGCCACAGAAGACATGCACCTGGTAATGTCCTCACTGCCCGTGTCGCTCACTACCCGCCAGAGAGAACTGTCGAGCACAATTAAAGCTGAAAGTAAGACCACGATGCATGCTCCTTTCTCAGTTCTTCTTCTTCTTCTTCTTCTTCTACTTCTTCTCCGTCTTTTTTTTCCAAATTAGCAGCCCAAGTCTGAGAAAAACTGTCAGTGCATGTTTCTTTGATAGACTAAGTAGAGCGCTGTGATCTCACTCTAGCACAGGGACACTCAAAAAAAGCCCAGCAGGGAACGTGGAGGCCAGCGCTTTTGAAGCTCAGCTGAAGCTCAGTGTGCTGCGGAGCTAGTGATTCTGCCACTCCGGCTAATCAGAGCGATATCTTTCAGATCTCAAAGGGGTTGTTTCGGCGAAAAACGACATTCGTGTAGAGATCGTTCATAAGGATCACAACGCGGCCAGAGAGACCGAGGAGCACACGAACGTGAAGCAAATGATGGTGAGTCCCTTTTTCCCTAACGGCGTTCCAGTCCTACAGCAGAGCCCTGATAAATCATACCAGAGCATACCTGCACATGTAGCAGTGCAGGGCTGTTTCAGTATCCAGGGTCTACACTATATTGTTGTATTGCTTTCTCAATACTGACCTTTGCAGTATTGATGATCGCAGAAGGCTGCAGTGTGAAAATGAGACGTCTAACCAGTCACGGTATGCAGTGAGCATCCTGACCAATCACGGTTCCAGATGAGTGTTTCTCGGGGGGGGGGTCCCCACAGAGTCAGACTACAAAACTCCCCCAAATTCTACTTGTCTGTGCTCGTTTAACGTTCAGATAAAATCAGTATCTCAAGCTAATGGAACTTGTTTTTCTCTTGTAAGAGTTGTTTGTTTATTTGTACTGTATGTAATGTGCTCTTCACACATGTGACACATATCTACATGCTTAACTGGGGGACTTTACAGTCATGCTAACTTGCACTACACCCATGTGCTATCCCCCTACTTTGAGCTCCACCTTCATAAGGTGCTGGATTGGTTTAGAAATTCACACTCAGTTTGTTCCCATCCTAGTAAGGCTACAGTCCCACCCACGTTTAGCCCCAGTGAGTGATGCTCTGATGAATCAGTGTGTTAATGCAGGCCGCTCTTTAGCCATGTCACATTATCAGTTCACCAGTGCATCTTTAATATGCTGTAAGGTTTATGGCATTCATAATACAGAGCAACATAATCGCAATTCTAATGCTTATCAGTTCTAATATTTATCATATATCCATATCATGCAGCTCTACACTGTCCACATAGTAGACCTGGAGTGTAGTCAGCATGCTTTGAAGATATCAGCTACTTTCTGTTGTACCATACTAAAGTACTGTTTCTCTATCTCTCTCTCTCTCTCTCTCTCTCTATCTCTCTCTTAACACTCTTTCTGCCCTCCCGATTCCCTCCACTATCCCCCTCTCTCTCTCTCTCTCACTCTCACTCTTAACACTCTCTCTGCCCTCCTGATTCCCTCCACTATCCCCCCTCTCTCTCTCTCTCTCTCTCTCTCTCTCTCTCTCTCTCTCTCTCTCTCTCACTCTTAACACTATTTCTGCCCTCCTGATTCCCTCCATTACCTCTCTCTCTCTCTCTCTCTCTCTCTCTCTCTCTCTCTCTCTCTCTCTCTCTCCCTCTCTCTCTCTCACTCAACACTCTTTCTGCCCTCCCAATTCCCTCCACTATCCCCCTCTCTCGCTCTCTCTCTCTCTGTCTCTCACTGGAACACTCTCTTCAACCGCCCCATCCCCCCCCACCCCCTCCACTCTCTCCCTCTGGTTCTGGCTCTCTCTCTGTCTGTCTCTCTCTCTCTCTCTGGCTCTACCTTTCTTCTCTCTTTCCCTGGCTCTCTCTAACACTCTGACACTTTCTCCCCTCCTGATTCTCTCCACTATCTCTCTCTCTCTCTCTCTCTCTCTCTGTCTCTCTCTCTCTCTCTTTCTGGAACACTCAACCCCCCCTCCACTACCTCTCCCTGTGGCTCTGGCTCTGGCTCTCTCTCTCTATCTCTCTCTCTATCTCTCTCTTTTTGGCTCTACCTGTGTTCTCTCTTTTCCTGGCTCTTTCTCTTTCTATCTCTCTCTTTCTCTTTCTCTGTCTCTCTCTCTCTCTCTCTCTCTCTCTCTCTCTCCTGCAGATGGAGCGTGGTGAGTTCCAGCAGGAGTCAGTTCTGAAGCAGCTGGAGGTGCTTCAAGAAGAGGAGAAGGAGTTCCAGCACATTAAGGTGAGACAAAGCCAGGAGAACCTCCTCAAGCTCATCCGTCTTTATTAAGCGCTCTCAGTGGGCGATCCTCTATCAAATTCATCTCAAATTCAATTATCCTAAAATGTAGAGGCTCACGGTTTATGACTCAGCACTGGGAGGAGACAAACAGTTGCCATCCATCTCAGTGTTTTAGAGGAATCTGAGTGTTTTCAGACAGTTACTATGATAGAGCTGCCTCAGACGGATTAAAAGAGACCTACGGAATAAAAGTGCTTTTGCCGTGATTGGCTGTACCTGTTCAATCTTCCATTTCCAAGTTTTTTTTATTATGTTGTTGTGGTTAAATTGGGAAATGATAGAGGTCACATTGGTCCAGCCCATGCAAATTTCGTTTAGCAGAAGTCAATTAATATTTGCTCCAGGGTTCGGTCTGTAGGAACAGTAATAAAAGAATAATAAAATATAATTGAACGTGGGCCTCAAGTGCTTCTACTTGTGTTGTATTCCAAGTAATTCCATTGCCTTTATGGTCAGTTCTAATCTATATCTTTGGTTTTCTGGATTGGTTATCAGGAATAGCCCCCATACAGCTCACTGTATAGCCTTAATGACCATGTAAGTGTCAACCTCTGCTGGTTCAATTCCTGTGGTATGATTCAGGCGTCTGCTGTAGAGCCTGCTTATATCCCCTGTCCCTTACAGACCGCCTGACAACAGCCCAAAGCTAGTGCAGACAAAAACCATCCAGTCTTGACAATAAATATGATGTTTTCCCGGTGGAAAATCCAGAAAAAAAAGCTCCATCTTTTCCTAAAATCCCCAATACATATTCGATTTTGTGAACCAGCTGAACTGCGGCGAAGATTAAGAGAGGAAAAAAAAGATCGATATTTTGTGTATGTAACCAAAAATAAACTGCGAGTGAATTTTTTGCAGAGATTATTTCACATATGCGATGCCAACACGAATCATCAAGGCCCATTTAATTAGCTGATAACAGGATTTGACTGTTTATGCAGGAGATGACTATTTCACACCACTAAACCATGTAATCTTCTTAACATGGAGCACTTATCAGTCTGTTCCCTAATTTTCATGTCACGCTGACTATAATTAGTGCTAGTTGAACTTGACCTTGGCTTTGAGAGTGTGTATAAACATGAGATGGAAAAAAAAAATATTTTCTCACAGGTTTTTTTTTGTTTTTTTGTTTTTTTTTGTGGAGCACAAGCAAACAGCCAGGCAAACCTGTTGTAATAACCTGGCGTGGCACACTTACCATATTCGTAATTGTTTGGCAAGATGTTGTTAATGTGAATAGTTGATTAGACTCCGAACAAACAGGTCTAGGATGATTGATATGGGAGCAAACAGGATGTCCTGAAACAGCCAGATAGTTTTGCTATTTGCGGAGATAACATATAAGGGTACACACTGCCTGTCAAAAGTTTGGGGACACCTAGCTTTTCAAAATGAGTTGAATGAATGAGCATATTTTCTTTGTTAGTTTGCATAAACTTAATATATCAAAGCAGGTTTATTTAGAGCAGGGCTGCCCATTTTTGGCCTTTTGATTTGGCCTGCCAGAAGGTTACTCAAACTCCACCCCTGAAGGCAGTGAGATAACAAACAGTTTTATAAAAACGAATCGGTCCAGTCCTAAAGTCTGACTGGCTGAGCCGCTATACACACAAGTATGACTGCCTCACAACTGCTTTACTGCCCCACTCACTAAAAATCCTTGTGCTAATAATGGAATAATCTTTGACTGTATTGCTGCTGCCCTGCGATGGACTGACGACCTGTCCAGGGTGTATCCTGCCTTCCTGCCTTCTTCCTATATAGTGCACTATGTAAGCTATGAAATCCTGGCTTCTACTCCCAAATAGCGCACTGTTTATCGAGTAGGGACATGGATAAAATCCCAAATGAAGACGAACAGCACTGTTAGCTTGGTGCTAAATAAGACTGATAGGCGCCAATTGAAATTAGCATTGTCGTGTTGGTGGTAATTTAGCTAGCAAAACAATTTATGATACAACAATGACTGACAACAGTGACTGAACTTTATTGTCTTCTTTCAGCAGTCCATGGTTGCTTGGCAACAGTAACATACACTAAAGGAAATACATTTCTTGGCAGAATAATTGTTTATCTCAATTATTATTATTACTAAATTATTTATTGAAAATGTGTGTATTTTATCATGTTTTATGTTATCTGCCGTTTTATACAAGCTACAAGCCCCTTGAGGTCGTATAAGGGAGTTTTACTCCGCTTCACATTGTGCCTAACAACACCTTTACCTGTGATAAAATCACTGTAAAGCATGCCCCCTCATGGCTTACTGCTTTATTACACTATTTATAATTAATTCAATTCTTATTTGCTCAATTTGAAACCTACCTACTTTTTTATTTGTGTGTTGTTTTGTATTTTTGGTCTTCCACCCAACATTTCAAACAAACAAGCTGTGTGCCCCCTGCTTTAGAGTAAAACAGTATCAGACATATATATATTTGTGATGCTAAAAGATTTATGAATTATTTAATTTCATGCCAATTCAGTAGACCCTGTGCATCCCCTGTAGTGATGTCAGCACTCTAATCTTGTAGATGTTTAAACCACCTTTGGGCCAAAGGAGCTTCAATATGTGCTTTTAACAATAGTTTGGAAAAGAAAACTCCTAAATCATTATTTAGACAAGAGGAAGACATTTTAATGAACATGACGCTGAGTGATGAGCTAAATATACCCAGAGGATTAGCAAATGGCTTTGAGGTGTTTTTACTCAACAGCTAAAATTATTAAACACTTTAAAAGCCCCAAACATTTGAGGACCAGGGTATCTTCTGCTGGCTTCTTTGGCATAAAGAGTCTCTTTACTGTCTTCTCACAAAGACAATCCTTTTTTAGTACATTTAAAAATAAACTTTATTTATATATATACTCTTTTATATAGAGCTTACCATGATCATGCATGACATGCAGGTCAAAGTGCCTCACAAAAATAACACAAGGAGAGGGAGTAAACCTTTCAAATGTATGAAACTTATGAAAGGTGTGACATTAGGCTTTGGCAGCTAAGCTATCAGTTAGTTGTCAGCCAGTTTGGGGTGTGCATTTCAGTTAATGCAGTATATTGGATGCTCTTCATCATAACCCACGTAGACAGACCTAGTGAGAATTTTTCATATTCTTAAGTGGCCTTTGAAAGAGCTGTTTTGGTGCTTAACAGTCATTGATATGATATGCCTTTTTGGGTCCAAGTTCATTATTTTCCCCCAAAAATAATTTAATAAATACATGACATATATCAAATTATTTAACAATACTTCTTGTATGTGAAACAATTTTCAGTGCATCCTTAAAAAAATCTGAAAGTCGGAAAATGTCAAGAGGTGCAACTGTCCAACCATATATAATTAAGTAAACTATTAAACATGGTAATTTAGTTTTATAAAATTCAAAATAAAATAGTTTGGCATGATTTTATGTTTACAAAATGTGAAGAACACGTTGCAAATTAAGGCGACTTTAAAAGTGCTCAACTCACTGGAAAACGTCCGCAAGTTCTTATTTCCTCAAATGTCAGGTGCCACAACCAAAAAAAAAGGACCTTTATTTTGACACGCTTTTATGAACAAGGGACCAGGGTGTTACAGCATAAAGAAGACTCCAAATGACCTTCATGGTGCAATGCCAAAGTCGGTAGCCCTTTCACAAATCCTTTCACAAATTTTGGAAAAAATGTGATTTTTGAGTCATGGTTAGAATAGTTCAGTTTACCATGTCAGGAGGTCTGACCTCAGGAGAACCATGAAAATGTGTAATTATAATAATAATGTTTATTTATTTGAACAATGTAAGTATAAACTCAAAGACAAAGGTTTCTACAGGTGTCTAAGTATATGCCTGTTTAATTTGAAATTAGTCTGAAAAGTCAGGTGGCACAACAAGTAAGTCAAATGGTGCAACCAGACCAGCACAGTTTTGATGTGCAACAATCCTGTTTAATTTTGACAAATGTCACAAAGAAAAAAAAATATGACACAATAAGGACCAGAGGGGTCTCCATCAAAAGGCTGTCCCTGGTTGGTGATATATGTGCTATACACTGTATGCTAAAATGATCATTTTTCAAATACTCTTTTTTGCTTTGTTAAAAAATGTGTTAACTGATTTCATATGTTTTTTTACCACTTTTTACTTCTCCAACAAAATTTCCAACTCTCCTCAAGTGTTAATGTCGAGTACTATTTATAAACTCTTTAATTGTCTTCAACGACAAAAATGAGAACGATTTTGGTCTCTCTTTCTCTCCCTATTGGCTCAGGACCCAACTAATGGCTACTACAGTGTCAACACCTTCAAGGAGCACAGCACGCCTGCCACCAGCCAGACCGCTGAGGTTCGCAACCCTGCCACCGCCACCCTGGGCAAGCAGCGGGTCCCCACCGGAATGTCCTTTACCAACATCTACTCCACGCTGGGCCCCGGGCCCAACCACAGGCTCTACGACTACGGCGGGCGCTTCGTGCTGGGCATGGGCAGCAGCTCCATCGAGCTGTGTGAACGCGAGCTCCAGCGAGCGTCCCTCAGCGACTCCAGCTCCTTCCAGGACACGCAGTGCGACAGCAGCGTCAGCAGCTACAGCAGGCCGGACAACGGCTACGCACCCTTCGACAAGGCCAGCAAGGCCTCGGCCTCGTCCTCTTCGCATCACTCGCAGTCGTCCTCGCAGAACTCGGACCTGACGCGGCCCCTGCAGAAGCGCATGCAGACCCACGTGTGAGGGCCCGAGGGAGCGGGAGGCGAGGGCAAGAGGGCAAACGCTGGACACGGCCAGGAACACGAGGAGAGTCAACGTGCCTCCGCATGACTCCCGTTTGAGGAATTACATGCTCTTTGCTCGGGTGGTGATGTACACTAGCTGTCCAAAAGTATCCAGACACCTGATCGTCAAGCATTTCTTCCTGTCTTTAGGATTTTTACCCAATTCTCTACCGATTAAGTGCTTTTATTTCTGACCTGCTAGCTAGATCTGACCTTATTGCACGATTACCACCAGGCTTGGAGGGTGAGGGCTTGCACGTGCTTTCTATAGGAAGCTGCTGCCTGCACAGAATCATAATGTCCAACATTTCTTCAAAATTCAAAGGTATAAATAGAGCATTTGTCCACCATTTCCTGCAGCAACAACCTCTAATCTCCTGGGAAAGGCTTTACACTAGATGTTGGAACAGTGCTGTGAGGATTTGATGGAGCATTAGTGAGGTCAGGTACTGATGTTGGATGATTAGTTTTAGATCACAAACAATGCTTCAGCTCATCCCGAAGGTAGTGGGTGGAGCTCCATCACTCCCGAAAGAAGATTCCACTCTGGCCAGTGCTTGGCATTGGACATAAGAACAAAAGGTTCTTGACTTGGATGTACAGTTGTATGAAAAACGTTTCACTCAATAGAAGTTTTTCAATTTGTGGTGGTTTTTCAAACTTAAACACCTTCACGAAGTTCTTGGGGGGGGGGGCCCTTTTTGGCACCTTCATTTTTAAGAACAGGTTTGTGTGCCGCTGTTCCCGAGCATCCCGTTCTACCGCCCATTCTTTTCCATGGAGATTACACCCGTGTCGGCAGTGGGTGTGCCTTAATCAGACAAAGCCACTAATTAGAAGGGGTGTCTGGATACTTCGGGACATAGCGTGTAAACGCCTCACAGGACGTGTACTTTTTAAATAAGCAATGTGTTTTGTAAGTTACCTGAGCCACCTGTTTCGTGTGGAGCGACTTTTTGCTCAAAGCTAGTGTGCGCTTACTGAAACATAGTTCATTGAACGTTTGTTCCATGACAATCAGGACTCCTTCATCCTCACAGTTGCCATTGACTTAGTCTGATTTGATGCACGTGCTTCATTTCAGGACTTTTTTTTTGCTTTTGAGAAACAGAACCACTTTCAGGGAGCCAGCATTTGTCTGAATTTGAAAGGGCCTTGACGGTCGTTTCAATTTTTCATGAGGAGCTGAACTCGGGGGCCTCATGAAACTCAGCTGTGATTCAAAGCACAAAGGTGTCTGTGTGTATCAGCCATCAAGAGAAAGTCCTAACCAGGACACAGGGACGAGCCTCTCGAGGACCTCTGAGGACGCAGAGGCCTCGCAAACAAAAAATCGGCCCACGGCCTCGCCAGTGCTCCGTCCGAAAAGAGATTCTGTCCCTGTTTTCAATGTTTTCACACAATTGTAAATTCTCCTCACTTTTTTTAGGTTTGTTTTTGCCATTTCTTGAAAGTAACGCCATCTGAATGCATTGTGTGCGATCGTTTAAATACAGTTTGCTTGCATGAAGAAGCAGCAAAAATGACGTAGAGGCGATAAAGAAACCTCTTTGTGGCTTCTCAAACGTGGACGGTGTCATGTTTACACGTTGGAGGAAAGATTGTGGATATCCTACTCAATGTGAGCTCTCTGAACAGACCTCAAAGCGCTTAAAGAAATGAGTGTGTACAGTGAATCCAAATACTCTGTCGTTTAATGGCCTCTTTTTTGATTTCAGCTTACGATTCGTCGTTTACACTCGAGCTTGTAAATCCCGCATCCCGTGCGAGTCTACTGTGATTTTGTCTCCAGATGATGGTCGGAGTGGTGGGACTTTTATTTTATTTTATTTTTTTCCTTCTTTTTGATAGCTGCTTTCGTTCTGAGACTGATGTATGTTTAAGGCCACTGTTTTAAGTGAGCCCATTCACAAGGCCTGACCGAACCACGTTAAAAAAAAATAAAAAAAATCAGTCGGAGTGTCAAGTGCCTCCTTTCGGCAGCTGGAGGGGGACAGTTGTGAGAAACTTTGTCAATGCATTAAAAGCAATCAAATTAATCAAATAATCATGGTTACGAAATAAATGTTCAATAAAACAAACGTGTGGAAAAGGTTACGTGATCACTAAAGCCGTGAAATGTGTCTCTTTTACTTCCTCCAGCAGAGGTCAAAGCCAGAATCTCTCTGCTTTACTAGTGTGTTATCAATGCCTTGTTAGAGCTGAACGATTAATTGTTTTTATATCAAAATCGCAATTTTTAGAGAGCGAAATTTTTAAATTGCACAAACCACATTTATAGTTACATTCTACTTTATTCAATGTTGTCTTAACAGCTTTTAATTCTTCTTGCATTCGAATCACAGTACCAATATTGGTCAGAAAAATTTTGATTAGAGATGGACCGGGTTCAGGGCAGTTTTTTTTATGACGGGACACGAGTATGGGTCAGGTTCAAGTAGGGTTGAACAGTGAATCTGCTGCAATTTTCGTTATAGGCCACATTATTTAATTTAGTTTTGTCTGAACACGTTTTGATTGGGGAAGTTAAGCCTACCCAAAGCCAGCCTGATGTGGCCTGACAAAAGATTCGGTTTGGGCTGATTTCAGAGTGTTTTTTTTCAAGTCATGTCCAGAGTACAAGTCGGGTTCAAGTTGAATAATTTTTATACCTAAATCACAAATTTGAAAGAATGTAATTTAATGTAACATTTTAATTGGGGAAATTAAAGCTAATAGCACTCAGCACACAACATGCGCCATTAACATCTGAAAAAGAGAATGCACTGGTTTTCTTTAGGAAAAAAACGTCGCATTTAAATCGCAATCGCAGCATTGGTCTGACAAATCGCAATGAAAGATTGTCCACAAATTGTTCAGCCCTAACAAAAGTCTACTACCCTAAACCAGCCTGATGTGGCCGGACAAAATATTTGGTTTTGGCCGATTTCAGTGCTTTTTCATGTCGAGAGTACGGTTCGGGTTCAAGTCGGGTTGAGCACTGAATAATTTTAATACCTAAATCACAGTTTGAAACAAGGAAATTTTCAAATCGCTTCAGCTGCAATTTTTTTTATATGCTATATTATTTAATGTTGTCTTAACACGTTTTAACTGGGGAAATTAAACCTCATAGCGTTGAGCGCACAGCATTCGCCATTTCAGACTGAAAAAGAGGATGTGCTGGTCATTGCATTTAAATCACAACAGCAATATTGGTCAGAAAAATCACAATTAGAGATTGTCCACAAATTGTTCAGCCCTGTTCCTTATAGTCTTATAGGCTACCCTAAACCAGCTCAACATGGCCTGACTAAATATTTGGTTTGGACCAGGTTCAGGGTTTTTTTCATGTCATGTTGCAGTTACGGGTCAGTTTCGAGTCGGGTTGAACAATGAACTGTTTTTATATCTAAATCTCAATTTTAAACGGTGAAATTGTCAAATTGCTTGAGCTGCAATTTTTGTTACATGCTACATTATTTAATGTTGTCTTAATATATTTGAATTGTGGAAATTAAAGCTAATAGCGTTGAACAAACAACATTCACCATTTACGTCTGGTCTTCTTTAGAAAAAAAAATCACATTTAAATTTCAATAGTAATATTGGTCATAAATATCGCAATTAGAGATTGTCCACAAATTGTTCAGCCCTGAGCCTTATAGAAGTCTGCTACCCGAAACCAGCCCAACATGGCCTGACTAAATATTTGGTTTGGACTGAGTTCAGGGTGTTTTTTTTCACGTCACATCGCAAGTACGGGTCAGGTTCGGGTCGGGCTGAGCAGTGAATCATTTTCAAACTTAAACTGTGATTTGAAACAGTGAAATTTTCAAATCACTTGAGCTGCAATTTTTGTTACATGCTACATTATTCTTAATGCGGTTTAATTGGGGAAATTTAACCTAATAACATGGAGAACATGAGTAGGCAGGCACAACATTCAGCATTCAAGTCTGAAAACATGGATGTGCTGGTCTTCTTGAGGGGAAAGAAATATCGCATTTAAATCGCAATATTGGTCAGAAAAATTGCAGTAAGATGTTTTCCACAAAGTCCAGCTAGGGCGATTTTTCATGTCAGGTAGAACTGAACAATTAATCGTTTTCTATTGAAACTGAAATTTTTCAAATCTGAAGAACTGCAATTTTAATTACATCTTACATTATTCAAATTGGGTAAATTTAACCTAATGACACGGAGCTCGTCATTAGCAGTCTGGCACACAACATTCAGCGTTCAAGTCTGAGAAACACTGAATTTTGGCGACAAAAATCTTAATATTATAGGAAGTAATCGCATCAAAATCATAATCTCAACACTGGTCGGAAAAATTGCAATTAGACGTTTTCCACAGATCATCCAGCCTTAAGTTCGGCTTCACTTTCACGCCTATGCAGACCTCAAATACCTTGACATGGATATTTCACGGATGCTGTTGTAGTACATCGTAAAAATACATAATGCATACTAAACTCATATGACGTTATCAAGAGTTCCTCCATGTTTGATGCCTCTCTGCTCTCTAGTATTATTTCATTGGAGAGGTTTCCACTCCCAATCAATCCTTCATGCCTTTGAGTTGCATTAAGGTCTTGGGTGGTTCAAGATGATCCATTTTGGCATTCAGATATTAAATCCCCGTGGGGGCATTAGGGATGTTTCATGGACCTTCATAACATCCTCATATGAATTAGTTATTAAAGTGCGGTTTTAATCCATCATCTTGGCTTTTAAAGGTTGGCTCAACCATGGTGGATCCATCACGAAACTAAATGGATTTCAGAAGATGATGCATGGTCTCGAAAGCGAGCATGGTGTTTGTATAGCGGCGGCCCGTGTAACTCTTTAAAAGAGCAGCTCTTTTTGCTTGGCTGTCGTAATTGAAAGTCGAGGCACACGCGCTGTAACCGCCGCTATTGGGGAAGGCCTTAATCAGCACATTCTTGACTCGCCTCTGTTGTGTGGAGGATTCCGCCGCCGCAACTGTA